ACTAGCTATCTTGATCTCTTCGTCTTCGTGCGCTCGTTTATTCCTTCGACAAACACCCGTTGCAACAATACAATACACGCCCTTCACCCATAGTCCCCTTTAATAATACCACCTAACCGCCCGCCGCGAAACGCGTCAGCTCCACCGAAAAGTTCCGCCACCCTCCCTTCTCAACACACCCCTTCAATCCGCGTCCATCTACACAATCGCTCAACATGCTGCCTAAGGCCTGGTTTTCCACCACCGTCCTGGCCCTCGCTGCCGCCTCTTCGGCCTTTACCCTCGAGAACATTCGCATGGACGGCATTAACCACTACATCCACTACGGCAAGAGGCAGGAGGCAGAGGGGACTGGCGTATCAACACCGACATCCGCTGCTCCGCCCACAAGCACCCCTCCACCACCACCACCACCAAGTTCTGAGGACTCAACAACGTCGGCACCTCCTCCCCCGTCGTCAACCCCCGACGAGCCCCCTACAACCAGCAACGACCCAGAGACAACGCCCACTAGAGACTCCACACCAGACCCTCCCCCGACGTCCACTCGCGCTCCAACACCCACTGGCAATGGCGGCAACAACGACGACGACGACAACAACGACGATGAGCCCTCCTCATCAGCGCAGCGCTCAAGTGCAGGCTCCCCAGAGCCGACAGATGCCAATTCGACGCCTACTTCCGAGAGGACGACGCCCATCATTCGAACCACTCCACTTGTTTCAACGTCGCTTCGGGAGTACGTGACTGTCATTACGACCATCAGTGGGGGACAGCAAATCGAGATAACATCGACCGGCACCAGCAGTTTCCTCACCACCACCGGACAAGCCCTCGTCACAGACCCACCGACTTCGCAATCCGGCGACGACGATGGCGGTAGTGGCCTCAGCGACTCCAACAAGAAGGTCATCGGAGGCGTAGTTGGCGGCATCGGCGGTGCCCTCCTCCTCGGCGGCATCGCCCTTGTTTTTTGGCGCATGAAGCGCCGACAGTCGCGCGTCAACGAAGACGACGACGATCTCATGGCCGGCACTGGTTCAGCGCTTGGATCGGACAAGCCTCAGAGCAATTCTACTACCTCGCCCTTCCAATCAAACCTCGAGCAGTATCACAATCCCGGTGGACGGCCCAACGCAGCTGCCAACTTCTAGGCGAAGCGCAGCCCCAACAAAGTACATAGGCCCGCGAGGGTCCTCCCACCTCACGATACCAACGATTATTTGCGGGACTTTTCTGAGCTTGAAGCCATCCTTGACCGTGCACGTTTTGAGCATGTATATACTCCACAACGGTGGCGGTCCTAATACTCCGATCGATCTCACGGGTGGCACTACACTAGGTACGACATGGTGCATTTTTTGGCGCAGATTTGCGAGTATTTTTTGAATTATTGCATGCCTGCTTAGCGTATTGCTAGATTGGTTGCGCAAGTATAGGTATATATCAGGCATACTCTCTAGAAGACGCTCATCACTCTTCTGTCCACTCGTTCATCTCTTTTGTCAGCGTTCGCCGCAGTCTTGCTACGTTTGCTTGTTTTTCAAAAGTTTGTAATCGAGCGTTGCGTGCGTCTCTCTCATCCTCAGCAAAGCCATACCCCCCATAGCGAATTCCAATCAAAATTGTCAAGTACCACTACTATCTTCTTCCCCTCACAATATTCTTTCCATTTACGTCATGTGCTTTATGCGCATGTTTTTCGCTTGCCTTCCTCAAGCATTTCGAGTTCGAGATCCGAGGGGCGATTCTCACGTTTCAGGACCGTCGCAGCCTCGCTGATTTAGTGACGCGCCCGCAGCCGCCAAACTTGAGATGTTGCTGCAGGGGCTGCGGGTGGCGTGTATGCGCAATGGTGTGCTTCCGGGCGGGAAAGGCTACATATGTGGGTTGTTGGTCGCTTTCGTGTGTCGATCCGAGTTTCGCCGTCTTTGGATCTTTCCTGTATCGTCAGAAATTGCAAGATTGACAAGTCGTTCTTTGCACCGGCAACGTTTTCTATACTGACAATCTGTCTATATTCACATCCTCTTCTAAATCGACATTCTTTACCATACCGGCATTCTCCAGAAGACCGACATCTTACCATATCGACCTTGTCTTTTACATAGGCATCGAATGCATACGGACATCCTCTATCATACCGGCAAATCATTTTGGATGCTGGCATCTTAGACAAGTTCCAGACTAGCCAGCACGTCCATCTCTACCATATCGTCGCACTCCCACACCCAACCATGCTCCTCCCGCCCACGCTCCTTACGCTCCTACACTTCCATCTCCACCTTGCCCTCTCGCACGCCTCCCCGCAACCGCCCCTCATTACCAGCGACTATGAGATGTCCCTCCTACCCCGTCACACGCTCTTCTTGCGCCAAGTCTCCAACCTGCAAACGTTTTCTGGCGAGCTCGGCGGAGCGCCCGCGGCGCCGATAACAAATTCCGGAGATCAGGAGAGGCCCTTTAGTGTGGAAGGGGATACCTTTGATACCTTTGAGAGTGCGGCGCAGAGAAGTTGTGACAATCAGTTTAATGCCTGCGCGCAAGCTGCGAATAGTAGGAACAGGAGGAGGCAGGACGGGGGGTTGAGTGTACAAGCTTGTAGTGAGCAAAAAGGTGAGTACATGCTTTCTCCTCCCCAAGGAAATTTACCGGTACTGGGCAGGAATTTTTTTTTTTTTGGTTTTATCTGACTGACGATGATGGGTTAGATGCATGTAATGCGGCACAACAAAATGCGCAGGTCAAGGATTTTACGAATGCGGTCGCTAGTACGAATATTGGGCCGGACCCAGAGTTTCCGGATTTCGATCTTATTTGTGAGGGATGATGGGGGTTGGTTTTGGTGGAGTGTAGGCGGCTGTGTGGCTTTATCGGGAACGGGGAGAGGGAGGGTCCAGCTGAGATCAATAGCATCTGTTTTAGCTGTATGTATGTGATGAAGACAATGCATATTCTGTCTTTGCTTTGTTACTTTCCATCATAGAGACTTTGCCTGTAGACTTTTGGGAATTGAGGCGGTACCTAGTGCACCACGCTAACTACATACAACGCCCAAACTCATCTTTTCCTCCACCCTCCACGACACCAACCTTACTTCACCCTTGTCGCACATTATGCGTGCGACGCGTCAAAATTTGATCGACTGAGCTCACGCGGGATATCGTCGCGTTTGTACTGTTACTATGGACCGAAGCTACGCGTCGCATTCCTTTTCGTGGCCTACATGACCCGCGTGCTCAACACCTCGCTTACTTCCATCTCAACTTTCAAGTAACAACCATAATGGCGCCCAAACCTAAATCAGTCACGGCGAAAGCGCTACAGGCGTTGCTCACCCGGATTGGCACAGCATCATCGGGGACAAAAGCTACGCTTCAGGATCGTTTTGCACAAGACCTTCGCAGATCCCGCCTCGTACTCCACCGTCCGGAATGGGAGGATTTACGACCCAGAGGCCGGAAGCTTCGCATGATTAGCATCGACATGGGCATCAAGAATCTTGCCTTTTGCGACGCAGAGATCTCCTACCCAAGGAAAGACAGCCTAGATGCTACCATGGAGGTCTTAAGATGGGAGAAGATTGATCTCCTTTCAGCCAAACTTGATCCTCAGAGAGAGGACACTGTAGATATGGATGAATACACAGACCCTTACTCGTCGACTTCCTTATCCAAGACCGCATATTGGCTGGTGAAGGACACGATCTTGGCTAGAGCGCCTGATATCATATTGATTGAGAAGCAAAGATGGCGGTCTGGCAGTGGAAGCGCGATACAGCAATGGACGCTTCGTGTCAACACGTTGGAGGGCATGTTGTGGGCTGTTCTGCAGACATTGTATGTGGAAGGCAAGAATGAAAACTCTAGCTCAGTTGGTTCCAAGAGGAAGAATAACTATGAGGTCTTTGCCGTGGATCCGAAACGGGTGGGACAGTACTGGCTTGCGCAGTATGCTGGGCGTCTTGCTAATAGCAAGGCAAGTACCGCTGGTTCGACAACGCGCACAAACGAAGGCGTCGAAGAGCAGGAAAACGAGGCAACCCCCAAGAAGAAACCCAGTCGAACCAAAGCGGAGAAGAAAGTAAGGATTGCGCTGCTGCGCTCATGGCTTACTTCCACTCCTCCTTCCACCGCCCCCACGACACACCCTACCACACCAAAGATTTCCTTCAAGATATCCGAAAACGCAGCGTCTACCCTCCAATCGCTGGTCTCGCCTTCAAAGCCTACGCGGCGCAAGAAGGGCACTGAAACAGTAACAGAAGGGGTTGTGGCTGCAGACGAGATAGGGGACACGGAGATCAAGAAGCTCGACGACATTACGGAATGTTTCCTACAGGCTGCCGCGTGGGTGAGCTGGGAGTCGAATCGCTTGCAACTTCTACGAGTGCATGATACAAAGAGAGGCGATGGGACGGAACTGGAGCTGGACGACGAGACTATGCTTGAGATGGTCAATGAGGTGGGGGAAGGGTAATGCAAGGCGCAAACTCGAGTACTGCAACGACATACAGTTCCAAAGTACCGCGCAAATTGCAAATCGCAAAAAGGAGATCCGGGCAGTAAGTCATGGAGCTGATGGTGCAAAAAAATCTTTTGTCACAATGTTATATGGGCATGAGGTGCACTTTCGATCCAAGTGCGAAAGAAACCCCATGTAGCATGATCACAAAGTACTCGAAAATTTCCCACAGCTTGCGCACACGGGCTCTATATTAAAAACCAGAAGACCCAAAACAACAAAGAACCCCATGACGAACAGACGCATATCGTGTCAATTCTCATTGTTCCGTTCGGCCGTCCAAACCAAGCCAAAAAGAAATTCCCAGATTCCCACCCCCCACTTCGCGTCACTGACGTGTCATACATTCCCCATCCAACCCCCTCCCCACCCTACCATACCATACCCCCTAACCGCTCCTAGTCGCTTTATTTGCATAGCTATATAATCCCACCAATTTGAAAAAGTTCCCAGAAGTCTCTATTTCCGCTCGAACGGTCTCGGTGGCGCAATGGTAGCGCGTTGGACTTCTACTGTTTTCAAAACCGTTTGGTAATTGATTTACTTTGCACAAAAACGGTTATCCAAAGGCTGCGGGTTCGAGCCCCGCCCGAGATGCTTTTCTTGTTTTTTTTTGTGTGCGGAGAGGGGGGGTGGTTAGTTTTGGTTGGCTCTCATGGCAACGGAAAAACCGGCCATAAGAAATCTGCAGGCCTGTGCACCCTAACCACCAACACTGAGAATCAAGTACTCGTTTTACGACCAGAACTCATCATTTTTTATCCTAAATTCATTCCTAGCCTTCCTAGATCTATTCACAATAATTTCCGCTAGACTTAAGATGCAACTCAATGTATTCGCCCTCAAAATTGATGAAATATGGCTGTGTTTTGATGTTTTGAGCATCGGGCTGCACCGGCCTGCCGATTTCTTATGGCCGGTTTTTTCGTTGTCATGTGTTGGTGTTCTGGTGCTACTTCCTCACTTAACTTACCTCAGCTGTATCTTAAATACGTCATGTAAACAGACCCTGCTGCTGGCCTTCTGGGAGGTCCGCACGAGCAGAACAGAACACAATCAGATAATACACAATACTTTTGATTCACTGCCTCGCGCATTTACCCTTTGACCATTGCATATATTCAACGCAACATCATGAGAGGTTGGTCGGTGGTTCAGGGGATGCAATTTTTTTGGCTGTGGCTGGTGGTGCGGATAGAAGGAAGGTGGGAACGAACATCAATTTGGGAACTCTGGGTTACGGTTGGAGAATGTATGTATATAGAGCGTTATTTGTTACGTGCGCAGGTGGGTTTTGTCTTTATGTGTTCCCTTACTTTTCTCCTCTTCTTTCTGAAGCTTGTCTGTCACCTTGGGTAGGCTGCTAATGGCCTTGAGATCCAAGCATTGACAACACATGCAGCTTTAGACAAACTTAGGAACAGGAAATTATGCGCCTCTTCTGCTAGAGTGTCTTTAGTCACCCTGAGAGGGATGCGCTCCTGTCGAATTACCGTGTGTGAGAGACGCTAGCTGCGTTCAACGGCTTTTCGGTATTACCGCTTTGGGCCCGATCAATCCCTGGCATGTCGCGATCTCTGGCGCTGACCTCACACCTCGCACGCATTTCAACTTTGTTTCATCCAGACAACCTCCAGCTCAGCCATGGGCTTCACTACAGGCTTCGTACGCGCACCTACTTCCCAAGCCTACTCCGCTAACAGTCCCAGCTCGGAGGCGTCACATTGACCTCAGCCGTCCTCTATCTCACCATATCGTTGCACACACAAAACCGCATGACGCAAGCCGCGCTCCTAAGACAACAACGCCAGGTCCTCGCCGACTTTTACGAGCCGAAGAAGCCGGAGCCAGAGCCGACCTACCGAGAAGTGCCAGTCGGCTTAGCAGAGATGGCCAAGGACAGGTGGAACAGAAGCCTCGAGGAAGGTGTGCAGAGGGTGTACAACACGGACTGGCGGCGAGTGAGGGAGGACGCTGAGGATAGGGTGAGCGTTATTTTGCAGAGGATTAGGGAGAGCAAATGAGCGATTGGTAGCGACATAGAGTAAAGGCTTCATAAGCTTGGGCGCAAAAGCAGGTGGGCGGCGGCGGCGACGATACCCTACTTGCAACTGCACACTTGTTGGAGCTTGCGACAAGGCCGGTATAGATTTCCTACCCACTCTGTTCCTTCTCCAGCTGCCTCTATGATTTGCGGGGGTAGCAGTAGGAATAATTTCTAGTCACGTCATCTCAATTGCGCGCTCTAGTTTTACCTCCCCGCACTACTTGCTGTTATTGTTCGCTGCGTTTGCGTTTGCATAGCAACATCGCGCTTCTGCCTAGCTCCTCTCTCTCACCACCTCTTCTTCTGCAACCAAACTTTTTCGTCTCGCAACTGCTCCACAAACACACATAAGCCCACCATGGCGTCCCACGGCATGGTTTGCGACCTATTCAATGATCGCTACCTCGAACTGCAAGATGTCCTCGGCAACGTTGAGCCGCTCCCGACGCTCGTACCGTACGAAAAATACAAGCACACTGTTATTGTCTATCAAATGGACTCGCCTCAAGAGGTCTTCATGGCGCTTATTCAAGAGTTCACCGAGCGCAGGGCCTTTGAAACGGGCAACGAGCTATGGACGTGGTGGGTGCAGTGGGAGGTTGACGAGACAGCGCCTCGTCCATCGGTCGCGCCCCCACACTCACCCAAGAAAGCCCGTCTTGACAGGAGAGAGCGAGACACGCCGACCGACGCGCAGCTGCGACGCAACGCGCACAAATTGACAGCTGAGCGGCGCATCATCTATCCGGAGTTGATGCGCGAAGAGGATATGATGCGGATATTGATTGACATTGTCCAGGTCGAGAGCAAGCTGGTACCCAACTTCATCGAGTTCCTGTACCGCTGGGTTGACTTCTACGAGGGAGACGGAAAGGCTTTGAAGGCGGCACTGCACGGAGAGATACCGAGCTTGTGGGACTTCGAATACCATCCGCAGATGCCTACGGAAGAGGTGAAGATCAACCAAGCGAACGCGGTAGGGGGAGAGATACCAGTCGTGAGCAATAATGGAGAGAAGAACGATACCGGTGACAAGACCCCGAGAGACACCAACGCTGAGGAGCTTGCACAGAGCTCACCCACAAAGAAGATGCGGGAGAAGCCTGATCTGGTGGCACTGGAGCGTCAGTCGGAAGCAAGCGAACGCCTGCAGTACCGCGAAGTTCAGTACGGCATGCAGCCGCCGAAGCTAGACGATCCGCTTCCACCGCTCATCAATATCCCCCGCAATCCCAAAAAGCGCTCGAAATACTACGCAGCCTGTTGGAAGTCTCGTCAGCGCGCCCTCTTCATTCTTGACCGCGCCGGGATCACCAAGCAACAAATCAAGAACTACATAAAGCTGCAAAAGGAACATCCAAAATTCACCGCACAGGAAGGCGATGGAGGCGGTCTGGATAACTATGAAAAGGACGCCGCAGCCGCACAGATATATCTTGCGGAGAAGAATAGGCAGATACAGTTACGCAACAAGCAGGCGGAAATTGCCATCAGCAACAAGTTGGCGCTTGAAGCTCACCTTGCTGCTCATAGTACTGCTCCCGTGGGTTCTTCTGGTGTCCCGCTCATACCTCCTACGCCATCATATACCCGCCGCCCGGATATGGCTCGCGAGATGGCACGCTACATCCAGCTAGGGAGGTCTCCCAATGTCCAGGAGCATATCAATATGGTCCCTACACCATTGGCGGGCAAGATGAAGAGCAAACTCTTCGAAGTCGCGAAAGACAGGCAGACGCTCATAGCAGCGCTGCAGAAGCACACTGGTTTGTCAGGTGCTCGCAATCCTTCCAGGACCGATCCTAGCAGGCCGACAAATGATGGCAGCGCATGCGATAGAGATATGGACTCCAAATCTGACTCCAAGTCTGACGACGACGACGACGACAACAGTGCTGGCAACCGAATGCGCACATCCTCTGCGAACTTACGACCAATTTCCACTGCTACACTTCCATATCCTGATCTCCCCCGTCTGAGTCTACCCATGCCGTCACCGCGCACAACTCCTGTCGGAGCACCTACGCCGAACTCATCCCAACATCCTCCGCTGGGTTATGTCGGTATGCCTACCGTAGGAAGCGTGGTTACTGGGGCTACCAACCCAACGAATATATTAGAGTACATGCGGAACCTCAGTCCAGCGCAAGCTCAGCATCCTGCGCCGCAGGTTGACCAGCGTGCAAGACAGACAGTGGCGGATATGATTCTGGCGGCTCAGCGACCGGAACAAGCAACTGCTCAAACTACTCAACTCTCAAGTTACATTGGACATGCTGCCTCGAATTACGGACCTCCGACGATGAATCCGCTCCCAGGAGCCGGACAAGCGCCACGTGCTCCGACTATAACTATCTCACCGCCTCAAGGACCAAATGGTCAGTCCCAGTTTCAACCTCCTTGGGGCTTTGGAGGTCAAATGAATCCTTTGGGTCCACAGGGACTGCCACCGCCGCCCAGAGGGTTTGAAAACCAGAGGCCACATACAGGTAGTTCAAGTTCGGTCCCGCCACCGCCACCTCCGCCGCAGTTGCCCACCTCTGCGCAGCAATCGCATCACACGTATCAACCGCTTCTTCCTCCAGGACCTCAACCGCCAGCCCAGTTTCCAGTCGCACCGGGTTTGTCAGCTCCAGCGCTACCGCCTACACTTGAACAACGTCTGCTTGCTATGCAACAACCACGGTTGAACATCTTTGCAGCTAGTCAGGCACTCCACGGTTATGGACCTTCAGCACAGCAGAACGCGACACCGCCTGACCAAGGACCGAACAATCATGAGGGTTCTACTCCATTACGTTCTCCCATGCTGCCACTGCCGGCTTCTTCCCAGCACGCCCCGACTACTCCAACAGCGTCTCCAAACCCCTTCCTCAATCCACCGCGATCGGGCATGCAACGCAACGCGCCATCCCCACTCAACCTAAATCCCCCACCACCCTCGCCCCTCACGTCTCTCGCCCCAAATCTCCTCGCCACATCCCCCTTCTTAGCCTCCGGCCAGCCTATCCCCATACAGATCCTGCTTCGCCAGATTCTAGTCCCAGCCAACCTCATCGGCGCGGGCGGCCTCAAACTAGGAAACTTGGGCGGCGCCGAAACCGATGCCCTGCTGATGGGCCACTCTCAGCCGGGAAGCGGAAGGATCATTCTGACCAGCGCGATTTTCCTGCCCATGGGCGTCTGGGAAAATACGCTGGGCCGCGTGCGCAAACGCAAATTCAGAGTGGTCGAATCGTACCTCGGGCCCCAGTCACCGCATTATGCGCTAGGCACCAAGCCCCAGGACACGCCGCATTTCGCGGCCTACAGCAAACTCGAATACGCATTTAACCTCATGACCTCGTCGGATGCGCGCGAGGACGATTTGACGAAGCGCTGGCGTGTGTCCAAGGGCCCGATGACGGCCATGGATCGTGGGTCGGTGTGGGAGGGCTGGGCGGCTACAATTGATCGGCCACTTACGTTGGAGAGGCAGGAGAGGGAGGGTGCCATGTCGCTGTCGGACGTCATTAATCATGCGGTGGAGAGGAGGCAGGATGGGGAAAAG